TCAAAACAATATATGAGTCAATATTATTTCACTTTGTCTTGAACCTAAGGAAGAGCCACAGGGCACCTATGGAGCTCGGAAGCAAAGAAACAATAGAGATGATTTTTGAAATGAAACAATTCTCAAAAGCCCCAACCGGCTTGGCTCAGTGAATAGAGCGTCGGCCTGTGGACCGAAGGGTCCTGGGTTAGATTCCGGTCAAGGGCATGTACCTCGGTTGCAGGTTCCTCCCCAGCCTGAGCCCTGGTCAGGGCATGTGCAGGAGGCAAACAATTGATGAGTTTCTCTCACATCAGTGTTTCTCTCTGTCTTTCCCTCTCCCTTCCACTCCCTCTAAAAACCAATGGGAGTTGACTGATGAAGAAGAAATGGGAATGAAGAAGTGTCATTATACTCAAAATATCCCCGGGTGGGGATTAAAATAAATGAATCAATCATAAGTGCCAAAACCCAAGGCAAGGGTTAGGTGTAGATTAACACAATTTCCCCCCAGAACAAGTAACATCTAGGTCATGTCAAATGCATTTTCTAAACTTACCAGAATCTTACAAACTCTGATGTTATCCACGTTGAAATGGCCCGACTCAGGAAAGATGGACACTGTTGAGAAAGAGGACGCATGAGGGGCTGCACGGGGACAGCGAGGAAGCAGCTCCGTATGTCAGACAAGTGATTTTGGATCCTGACTCACCACAGGCCTGAGCAATGAGCTTGGCCAGAAAGGCTTCGTTGCCGTACTGCTTGCTCATGATGGACGTGTGGAGAAGAGAGGCCACTTCATCGACATCCCGGAGGTTTTTTGCAGAACAACAAACCAAACTGGGGAGAATCTCGTGGGCTTTCCTGCAGGCAATTTCATAGCCTTCGATGACCTGCCGTGTGAAATGCAAAAACCGTTCTCAAAGACATACTTATGACAAAGCAGCATATTATGGCGACCCAATGAACACGTACGTTCATTTTCAATACGAAATAACAAACACACGTCCAGAACGACATTCATAGCAGAGCCTACGAGTTAGGATAGCCGTGGGCGAGAGGCCACACCTGAATCCTAACCACCACTTATTAGCTACAAGGTCTCCAGCGAGATTTGCCTGAGGCCTCACCCCCTTCTCCTGAAATGGACTGGGGTCGTTTTATTCGCCTCACAGGCAGGCTCTGGTGTGGACGAGGCGGGGCCTGCAGAGCCGGTCCGCAGCACTGGCAGAGGGAAGGCTCACGCTCGCTGGGGCTCTGAGGATGGCTCTTGGAAGCAGTGGGGGTGTGCATACGTGAGCACACACATACACATACGTGAGCACACACATGCACATACGTGAGCACACACATGCACACACGTGAGCACACACATACTAACTAGGACACTAAAGTGAACGCTTGCCTCAGAGACCGACAGGCCGATCCTCAGGAGCTCCTCAGCCAGCTCCAGCAGAGCGCCAGCAAACACCAGCACGAAGTTGGTGCCGTCTCCCACCTCTTGCTCTTGCATGTGCGAGGCCATCACAATCATTTTGGCAGCAGGATGCTGCACCTGGTGGAGGGGGTTGAGTTTAACAGCAAGTTAAGGCACCGGATATTTAAAGCAATACAGCCATTCATTCCCATTTCTTCTTCATCAGTCAACTCCGATCTCCCATGGGCCAGGGACTCCACTGTACAGACCAACGATGTGGTAACGAGGGGACAACCAGGCACCCCTGGTCCCTGGCCACACATGGTCACTGTGAAGGGGAACGACCTCAGTGTGTATGCTTTTCACCTGCACGTCCATCTCCACACACCAGGTCAGAGCGTCATTGTATGTTCACTCAATTAAAACCAAAGTAACTCCCACCACTGTTCTAGGCCTTTTACAAAAGCTTTATGAGAGCTAAAACAGGTATCATTTAAGTGGGGCATGAGTCTCACTTTCTGTGTTTAATCTTAATGTAAGGGAATCAGTTGCGATTTGAAAAAGGGGAATAGAAAATGTTTCTTCCAAAAAAGTATACCGAGATTTTAAGTGTTTTTCCCCTTAGAATTCAGATGCTTTTTTAGAAATGAGAAAGGGGCACCAACTGACGGTGAGAAGACTAAGGAGTCAGTACTATGATCACATCATGATTGTACCCCCACCACAACCAAGCGACTCCGAGAACAGCACCGCCTACAACGCTCACAATGACAAGTCCCTTCAGCATCTTGTGCAATTAAATGTTGAATTCAGTACATTAAGGATATACTGTTATTTAATAAGTGAGAGAAATGTTAACACGCATATAGGGTTTCATTTAAAAGGACTAAGTTGCCTAACCGGTTTGGCTCAGTGGATAGAGCATCAGCCTGCAGACTGAAGGGTCCTGGGTTCGATTCCGGTCAAGGGCATGTACCTTGGTTGCAGGCACGTCCCCAGTAGGGGGTGTGCAGGAGGCAGCTGATCGATGTTTCTAACTCTCTATTCCTCTCCCTTCCTCTCTAAAAAAATCAATAAAATATATTTTTTTTCCATTAATACTGAAGTAAAAGGACTAACTAAGTTATGCGGTTTTAAGCGCCAAGTTCAGGAGCATTTGCGGAGGGTCACCCGGCCTCTGGGACAGGCGGTGACAAGTGCTGACTGTCCCAATAACCTGCGGCCGTATCTCTGCTACCGACTCTCACAACAGCTGTTTTATTGTCACCGAGCCAAACAAATGGTCTTTTCTTAAAGCCACTGCTCTGAGCATCAGCTGTCCCTGCCTCAAACAAGCCACTTCAGAACCAGACAGCATAGCCACCTGTGTGCTTCGCAAACCTACTTATTGTTGTTGTTAATCCTCACCTGGGGATATTTTTCCATTTACTTAAAATTAGAAAACAAATGTTTTAACTGATTTCAGAGGGAGGAAGGGATAGAAACATCCACGATGAGAGAACCATGGATTGATTGGCTGCCTCCTGCACACCCCCCGCCGGGGATCAAGCCCGCAAAACCAGCATGTGCCCTGACGAGGAATCGAATGCTGACCCCTGGGTTCACAGGCTGAGGCTCAACCACTGAGCACAGCAGCTGGGCTCCACTGATTGGAGAGAGTGGAAGGGAGGGGGGCGGAGAGAAACACTGATTGGTTGCCTCCTGCATGTGCCCTGAACAGGGACGGGGACGGAGCCTGCAACCAAGGTACGTGCCCCCCACCAGAACTGAACCCAGGACCCCTCAGATTGCAGGCCAGGGCTGATCTGTTTCCTTCCAAAAGCACCCGACAGGGGACCAAACCCAGGGGACCAAACCCGAGGCCTTCTGGTGCAGGGGACGAGGTCCAACCAACCGGACCAAGCTGGACCGGCCAGGGCTGAAATGAGGTTTCTTCCAGGTTAAGATCTACTTAACCTTCGAGTTACCAACACAGCTCTTGGCTTTTTAAAGGAAGCAACTTACTTCCAGCTCTCTTAAAATAGTCGCCGCATCATTTGTTACAAACAGCTTCTCCAGGTGGTTGATAACCATTTTGTTCATTCCTGAAAGTTAAGTTAGAAAAGCAAGTCCATAACCATTCAAATCCGTCTCCAAACACCCAGGGAACTCTAATTAAAAATCTGTTTCCATGCATTTCTTAAACAACTGGAAAACCCACCCACTCCAACTCTCCCACGGCCCCAGCGCACCCCCAAGTCACGCCTCCCCTCGCATCTCCCAAGTCCACCTGGGACGATGCCAACCTCGTCTCCTTTTTGATCAATAAATACAAATCATACTAACATACACGGAAGAATCTACTTGAAAGTATGTTTAGTTCTCTGCTCATTCACCTGCATTGACTAGATTCCGTTGATGGCAGGAGGCCAGAGAACCGTCTCCCTTAGTCACAGTCAGTGTGAAATGCTGGGCACCTGTAACACTGACGTGAGCTCCTGCCTAACAGAGCGCCACAGTTTTCCTATCGTCCCCCGAGGACAGAAAGGAACGTCTGATCCCTACTTTCCTAAAGGCGACCTGAGCTGCTGATTCAACACTGGAACCTGAGTGGTGTCCCCGGACTGAGGTAACGGCAAAGCCGCCCTGTAGGCCGCTCTCCAGCGAGCAGAGGGGCCGTGGAGCCCCGGGCTGCCCCACAGCAGAACTTGGAGGTAGATTACCGTTCGGTCCGTAGGCCGTGCGAGTGGTCTGGGCGAGCTCCTTGCAGGCCTGGATGTTCCTGTACACGGCCTCTTCCAACCCTGAGAAATGCTGGGGCAGACCTTCTGATTAGAACACGAACAGGGACGTTCCTTCCCAGGGACAGTGGGGTCGCGAGTGGCCGCACCGCCCCGGGCTGTCCTGACCACCAGGCGACGCAGGGGTGAGAGCCCGGCCCGGTGTTCATGACGCAGAGGCCCCACCAGCGTCACGGGTGGAACACGGCCGGCAGGGACCCGGGAGGCCCTCCACCCTCTCTGCAGGGAAGGCCAGGGCTCCTCCAGGTGGGGGCACCGTCCGACTACCAGGGGGCAGGGGAGGGGGCAGCTGCTGTGTCGGGGCCTGAGGCCAGCAGCTCCGGGTCGGGGAAGTCCCGCTGGCGCACCTGCCCCCACGCTCAGGGCCCCGAGGGCAGGTTCCCGATGCAGCTCAACAACCCGCCCCCTCGCGCACAGAACGGAAGGAACCTGCTGCGTTCGGGATGCTCTGGACTTGGGGTGACTGTGGCCTGTTTCCCGAGAGCCGCTCCCTCCAGCACAG